TTCTGTTTTTATTTTTTTTTTATTTTGTAAAAGTAAATTGACGAATCTCAGACCGAGAACGACGGGCGTTAGCGCAACGATAAATAAATTGAGATTTTTTTTGTATGTAGAGTACAGCATATCATTATGTCATAGTATTTGGTTTTATATGCTTCAAACGTATCATGTAACGGCGGAAAATTGTAATTCGTCTCGGTCTGCCATCGGGAAAACTATTGCAGAAACGCGCAGTGTTCAAACGATATCGTGCTATCGGTATAGCACTGGCGGGGGAGTACTGTGGCGATTATATCGTCACATGCTTCCCCAAAAATATTAGCAAGAGAAACACGTATACGAATACGGACACGCACGCATACGAAAAGGATAGAGAGACAAATAAACATAAATAGAAATAAATATAACAGACGAGACGAAAGACGAAAAACATCGTGACGTTAGAGACAAAGAAATTAAATATAGAGAAAGTTCGCGAAGCCTCTCGAAGCCGATCGAAGGGCGTTTTGAGGCGAACGAGAAGTAGAATATTTTTACATGCGAAAGGGAGTTCGCTACCGACAGTCGCCGCGTACAGTCACACTATATCCGCACGGTCTTTCTTTATATATTCCTGTATCGAATTTTAACGTGTGCATTTGAGAAATATATTAGTGATATCTGCAAATACTCTCTCTCACATCATTATTAAATTCCCGCCTCGTATCGTTCCTCCAAATTCATCGCGACACGCGTAACAATTACCAAAACCTGATTATCGAGATCAATTTCAAATTCAAATTCAAGGCACAGAAAATATTCATAAAATTTGTATTTCAAAATATATTCGATTATGTCTTTTTTAAAAGCGGACTAATAAAACGAAACAAATACGATCGAAATAAAAGAAAGAATCAACTCGAAATGCTTTGCATTTTACTATCTGTTTGTGTATTGTATGATTCCTCGATATAGGTATATATACAAATCGGATAGGCGCAATATATGTATGTGAATGCTCCCAATTAAATGCTGGAAAAATATAACTTTTATTCAATTTGTGTCTTTCTTTTCTCTCTCTCTCTCTTTCTCTTTCTCTCTCTCTCGCTGTCTCTTTCTTTCTTTCTGTCTTTCTTTACTTTGACACTTAAGACACATTCTATAATTTCACACACATTTGTCCATAAATATCACAACCAAAAAGCGTACCTTCACGAGAAATGTTCCGTTCGTCGAACGAGACAAGTGCAAAAAATATATATTTATATGTATATATAATATCTCTTGCATTTCAGAATATATAGAATAATTTCGATTATATATATGTATATATATATATATATATATATATATATATCCTAATTTCAAAAATATAAGAACGTATCGTATTTACTCGATTTGCGTGAGAGCAGAATATTTCTCGTCGATATTATATCTTCTCCACTGGGTTCAAACGCAAACGTTTGTGTCATATTCTCGGTTTCCGCTCGCATAATGATAAGATTTTTAAGTTAATCGAAACATATATGCATTTTACATGAAATATATATGTATATTCTGCACGCACACACACATACACACAGTGAATTTTAATACTAATTTAATATTAATTTGTCACATATGTCATAATTGCAACAATCGATGAAGAAAATAAATTATATATGTATAACTATATATATATATTCGACATTGTCGTGTTGCACTTTTATTTACTATCTTTTTTCCTTATCTTATCTTTATGTTGCAGTCAATATTTCGAATACGATCAGAGTCCTCGCATGTCATGCAATCATAAAATTATATCGTAATCGCGCTTGTGGTTATATTTCGATTCGGAAAAATATATTTTCCCGAGATATAGAATCATAATTAATTAAGTTTATGAAAAATGTGCAGCAAGCTATGGATTTGTAATCGAAGCTACGAATACTATATTATTACAGTATGCAGTCCATTTTAAAGATGAAAAAAATCAAATCCGAAAATTTTATACGAGACTAGAAATCATATCGTCTTGTTTTTTTTTCTTGCCTCAGTCACAAAATTATATCGCAAAATTGGACTATTTTCAACATCGGATAGATATCATGCATGTCTGTAATTCGTTTTGGATGCTGATCAATTCTTCGGAAATATCCTTAAAATCTGATCACTAAATCTTCGTAGCAACATTAACACAACATTGCACATATACATTTAATAAGAGAACATTACTCGTGCGTTACTATACATATGTACAATGACAATATAATACTCTTTCGATTTTATAGTCATTTCGTCTAGTAGTCTCTCTTTTTCGTCTCTATATCTTGTTGATTTTCGTTCAAAAATCTTCTTGAAAATATTCGATACACGGGAGAAAAATATTTTTCTTCTCTTCTCAGCTTCAGCAGAGCACTTGACATCCAACATGTCAAATATATATTAAAGCATGATATTCGAAATATACATATTCGGTCTCATATTTCACGATATTGTAGCAATGTGATGATTTTGGGAACAATACTTAGAAAAATATACTAATTTCTTTGTGCTTCCTTGTCAGTATGATTCCAAAGTCACGCTTCAGTTTTCTTTTTGCACGATTGTTAAGTACTCCACTCTAATTAGCCAATTAAACTAACTGATTGAATCATTGTATGAATAGTTATCGTCTCTTCTGGACGAACTTTGAATAATTTCCGTGGTGTCAATTTTACATGAATATATTTCTCTTGTCGTAAAACAAAGTGAATCACAAAGTAATAATTTTATAATTATCACGTTGAAGTGTTATATGATCTGCTTATTTTATAGTGGTTTCGCGGTAATATTTTATTCACCACTGTCCGCAACATCTTCTACCTACCACTTCAGCTCTTTGCAATACACGAAATCACGTACATATTTTCATTTGTAATGTACAGAGACGTCTAGAAAAATAATTTTATAAAAGTTTCGCAAAAAAAACTTGGTTCTATCGTATAAATTAAATTAGCTACTCTCGATCAAGTTACTCGAATAATCGCTCAATCACTAATTATCATAAATATTAATAAGTCGGTTATTAGAAGCTAGTTCACGATGACAGAGTCAAAAAAGTTGTTATATCAAACTTGATAAAATGTGATATTTATTAGAACTTTTTTGATCTTGTTAAAGGTCCCTTTTTGAGCCTGTCGGCTCTTAATAGCCGACTTATTAGTGTTTATTATTGTTTCCACATACGAAGCCTATTTCTCTCTTTTGAATTTTATTCTAATTATCATTCAAAATTGACATTTCCTAGTGATTGCGATGCCTACAAAGAGTCAAGCGATGCACACGATGAGAGAGGATTTACGCAGTCTTATCGATCGTGAGAAACTTAAATATATAGAACAACCGTAAATAAGATCATTAATGTTTTTTGATATTCATGAATTATTGTACGAAAAACTTAGCCTCTCTCTCTCTCTCTTTCTCTCTGATCCAGAGAAGAGAGATGATACTTTTTGGCACGGAGCATATACAGTTGACACAAACGATTTGATTTATGATGTGACAATTAGTTCTTTGCTTGTAGGTTTGTAATTCAAACTCGCTCGATGTGTTCTATAAATAAATTCATTTTTTTCTTCCTTTTACGTAATTCTATACGACCATCCCCACAATAAATTTTTTTGAAAGTATAAATGTGTAACCCGAGAAATTCAGCTACATTCATAGTACTCTCTTTCTTTTCTTCTTTTATATGTATATACGTATGTGTGTATTTATCAGAATATATCGATGTCCAGTATACAAAATATGAATGCCTATTCAAACAGGATAAATAATTTTTCCAAGATTCCCTCCCCCCGCTTTTGTCTACACATAAAAGTTATATGTGATTTAGCATTTTAATTTGTAACATTCAAGTAATGCTGCAGATATAGTACTCTTATCACAATATTGTCAAATATCTTAAATATCACTCTCTCTCTTTCTCTCTTTCATTCACACTGTTTCTTATTCTAAAATTATTTATACAATTTTACACGTAAGAACAGATAGTTCTTAATTCGTAAAATCATTTAGAATGAGTTGTCATGTATTCTATAACAACAATAGTAATCTATTTGCTCACACACAGCAAGTCATTCTCGTGTGAATATAATATTTTCTTTATATATATAATATATATATTTAATATATCTCTTGTCTTCTCTTCAGATAAAATATATAGCTAGGACATTCCGAGAAAAATGTGAAATCTTGAATAGCTCTCTGATATTTCTAACAACACTCATGCGTAGCGCTAGCCTTACAGAGCTTAGCATCTAATAGCAATAAAGGATATTGATAACGTGTATTCAGATATAGCAATGTCTATAAGGTATGCATGATAAGATCGTTCATAGATCACTTTCAATGGATGATCAAGAGATTTTTTCTACATGAAAGATGAACAGCTAGATTATTCAGAAACGATAGTTTTGATGTTTGATGCACGTTTGATCTCGTCTCAATCTAGTATTATGTTCAATTATTCAAACAACATGACGATAACTCTAAGAGAGCTGTTACAAAATAACGTCTGATATAACAAGATACATACAAAATTCAATCGTAGAAAAAATTATACAAAAATATCTCGTTCTCGTTCTTCTTTCTGACATCGTGCTTGTTCACCCAAACAAAAGTTGAAATTATGAGATCTATTGCTAATTATAATTATGCTAGCTATAGTAACATATTATTATGGTATTCTTGTTTTAATTACAAGGTAATTGTAAAAACGTAGTCAACACGAAATCATATGTTAGCATTGTCTGTCATGCTTGCAAATAAATCCCAAGTCAGTTTTAATAAATTTTCATAATGTCTGATGAAAAATATATACTTTTCATTTTAGAAACAGTTCTGAAAGTTCAACAATATTTCTTCATAACATTATGTACACTTATCTTGCAAAAATATCGATATATTTTGCCAGCCCTCTCTCTCTCTCTCTCTCTCTCTCTCTCTCTCTCTCTCTCTCTCTCTCTCTCTCTCTCTCTTTCTTTTTCTTGCACTTTATCAAATAAATTTTTTCGAGTTCATATATTGTTTCATTTTCATAGACATGAAATATACAACAGCATTAATTAACAAATCTGTGAATTATTTGTAAATTATCGCAAAATATATTACATAGCTCTTGTTTCTCAAAATTTTTAACATTTTTATATATCTTTGTAAATTTACATTGCACACACCAATGTATATATTGGCATAAATCAGAATTTAAAGTTATTAATTGTCGTTATCACATTGGCATAATTGGATGCCACCATATGTGATGTCATTTATACCATTCCAAGAAACTTATATTACTGATGTATTTAACAAGAGAACGTGTTAAGAATGCGCTAATTGTTACCAGATAGATTCTCGATGCTCTCTGTTCTTTGAAACAAAAAATAATCTATCATTAGCGACTAATTATGTAGAAAAATACGAGACACTTTATTATAAGATACATCAGTAATATAAGTTTACCACTTTCGAAGATTGTCCTGCATTATGAATATCACTGGAATATTCTGTTGATGTACTTTTTGCATTTTGCCCTCAACCATCCATATGAGAAAATTAAAACCGATTCTTAAGTAACAGCGAGACGACAATGCGTACATTTTTTTTCTTAAAGTAGAAATAATACGATTATACAAATCTTCTTTATAAGATTACTCAACAAAAGAGACATAAATGGTCTAAGTACCATTCTTAACCATTACACAACTTCATGATACAGATCCACTGTACATATAGTTCTATAATTACATAAATGAAATAATATGCTATTATGGACATATGTAAAGGTACCTAAGGAAGTTAATATGTGTACAAGAATTATCTCATTAATGATAATTATGACTTATGCCACTCTCATTAAATGCAAGATATAAGATGGACTAAGAGAAATGAAAAACGTACAAAAAAAATCTTCATCCTATATATAGCGCTGTCACGCGACCTGGAAGTCATGACTAACTAAAAAAATCATAATTAATTGAACAATCTAGTCCAATTACTATTATGTACAATGAGAAAGGAACGATTTTTGGTCAGATGGTCGCGATTATTAAGTCATAAAACACACCTGATTTGTCGAAAGCGATAAACGCCCTTTGGACCAAGCAGGACGATTATCACTCTATTCCCTTTCGTAAGGAATAATATCATTAGCGTTGCATATAATCATCCTCAGTTATCCTTACGAGCCTTTTTTTTACTTTTTTTCTGAGGTTTTGCTTCTGTCCAGACGTCTAGAACAAAAATTAGACAAAAAAGATTGCGTTAAACAAATAATATAAAAAAAAGTTTCTTGTATAATTTTATTGTCAATACAACAAACCTCCCAATTCGTCGAACACAGCAATTTTCTCTTTACTTTCTACCATTTTATTCTCTTCATTATTTGTGGCTACTTTTTCCAAATTAGCCAGCTGTTTTTGCGGTTCTTCTGCAACAGGCTTATTATCCGACTTTGGTGTGGATGGTACCGAAGTGGGTGTATTTTCACCTTCAGAAACCTTCTTATTTTTCTTTGACTTTCCAGTTTTTTTTTCTTCCTTCTCGACTTTTTCGACCTGTATATTTATATTACATTAATAATTAAAAAAAAAAATAAAATATAATAAAAATTTATATTATATTTATAAATAATCGTTAATTTAAAAAATTTACTGCAATGTTATGTAAATGCAAATATACCTTGTTCTGTTCTTCTTTATCAAGTTCTTTGGCTTTATCTATCTCTACATCAGAGATAGGTGTCAAAATTACTTCTTTCTTCTCTTTCTCCTTGAGTTCCTTGTTTTCTGTTTCTTTAGCAGTCTTATCTTTGATTTCGGGCTTCTCCTGCTCCTTTTGCTTGGCCTCATTTATTAAATCAGCCTTCTTAGAAATTTTCTTATTTTTCTTCGAAGGGGATTCCTCCTCCTTCTTCTTATTCTTCTTGTCCTTACGAGAATAGGCTTGCTCCCAGTCTCCTGTTATCAATTATAATATTGGTACCAATAGACTACAGCCCAAAATAGTTGTATGCAAACAACAAATGTTATCTATCTTTATGTTAATACATGTAAATCAACCAACCGTCGTCAAAGTCCACAGGTTTTTCCTGGAATAAATTCTTCAAATTCTTCTTGTTCTTCACCTGCTCCACTTTGTTCTCTTTCCCAATCTTAGCTGAGACCTGCTCCTTCTCTTTCTTAGTCGTGGTGATCTTGTTCTCTTCTTGCTTGCGTTCCTTTAGCTTACCATCAACATCATCTCCTTTTGTACCTTTCTTTGGAACTTCCACCTTTGCAGCTAATGTCTTTTTAGCTGGACTTGTTTTCTCAGATGCAATCTGTCCATTAGTAGCTTTCTACAAGAAAAATATAAGAAATCTTTAATAATATTATAACTGTGCTATATAATATCAAAGTATAATTAATCTTTCTCTCTAAACAAGAAATATTGAATAAAATTTTTAAATAGAGTGCTCTTGTTACTTGTGTAAAATTAGATCAGGCAAAGGTTTTTAATGCTCTCATTGACACATATATTCCTCAAGTTTTATTTTGTGTACATTTAAGAAATATAACGACTTAATTTAATATAAAACTATATTCAATATTGTATGAAATTATATTTACACATAAGTCTGTTAATATAAAAACTAATTTTTTTAAATTTAAGTGCACAGTTTTTTATATTTAAACAAGATGCAAATAAAAAAAGGCGACAAATAAAATATAGAAAACCTTGATAAAGAGCAAAATTATCAACATGTGAGACAAGAACACGGGGAACAGGATGAGCATGCCATCGCTGACGGAGAAAAACAAACCCTGTCAGTGTCGTAACGTTACGTCACAGTGCGCGAGGAGGGAGGAAAGAAAAACAGCCACCTCGCCAGCCACCCTTTCGTACCGGAGGGAACCAGCTGATTAGCCGACGTGTGTGCGTGTGCCAAGTCACGACCACAAACGAGCAACCATATGGCAGGCGATCGCGACGTAGATATCCACGGGGATAAAAGGGCGCGGAGCGCGAAAGAGGGAGAAAGAGAGAGAGAGAGAGAGAGAGAGAGAGAGAGAGAAACTTCGCGTCGCAGGGAGAAACGATGTAATTTCGCTAACCTTCTCGCGGACCTTGCCACGCTTCCTGGCGAGTTTTCGGTCCACGTCGGAGCCTGCGGACAGCTGGGCGAACGGCGGTTGCTCGGCCTTCTTGAAACCGAAGGCAAACACGAGTATGGCAAAAATCAGCACGATACCCACTGGGACCGCGTACACGTATTGCGAGTGCTGCAGCAGCAGGCCGACGTGGTCCATGGCGACGCCCGGATGTGCGATGCAACGGCCAAGATGCCAACGTGTCCGAGACACAGGAGATCGCGAACGTTGACAGTGATGATAATGACGACGACGACGACGACGACGGATACGTGGATGAACCAGACGCGACGTGACGTGACCACAGATTAATAGACAGATCGCCAAAGGTCTGGATGAAGGAGAGACCAGCATTTCTCACTGATTTCAGCGCCATATCGTAGTAGTGGTCAATGCAGTAACTATTAATACGTTCTCAAGATAAGAGCGTCTCATGCTCATGAACTCGTCCGGCGGCATGTACGAAATTTATCTTTTCGTAGCGTTCGCGTATTTCGGAAAGGACAGAATTTTATGATGTTATAAATAAATAAAATATTAACCTGACCTATTATAATTATTTTTTAATAAATGTTTCATTATTATTATCATCTAAGTCTAAGTCGTTTAATTAATTTTTAGTTTTTTAATAATTAATTTAATTTATTCTAATCATTTTAATATGTGAAAAATACTAATACATATACGTTTTATAATGAATTAATATATTTCGAGAGTCGAATTATATATTTTTAATAATATAAAAGTGTTCAAAAATTATATTTGACTTTTAATTTTAATTATTTTAGCAAAGAGTTCCGAAATCTCTTACACACATAATAGGGATTTTGTTCATCCATATAATTCGCAATTAAGTATATATGTTAATTATTAATTTCAATAAAATACAAAATTAAAATTAAAGGTCAAATATAATTTTTGAACATAAATATATTTAATTCGTTATAAAACGTATACCCGTGATAGTATTTTTCTCGTACAAAAATAACTAGAATAAATTAAATTACTCATAAAAAAATAAAAAAATAATTAAATAATTTATATTATATTTGATAATAATAAAACATTTTATAAAAAAAACAGATTCAATAAATATAAGTATATATATAACATGTACTTATATTTATTGAATCTATTTTTTAATAAAATGTTTTATAAGCTTAGAAAACTTGACTTTGACGTAACTAGCAAATTTTATTTAATTATTTCACGACGGTTTGACGTAATAAAATGTTTTATTATTATTATATAAAATATAAGTTTAAATTCTTTAATTAATTTTTAATCTTTTATGATTAATTTAATTTACTCTAATTATTTTTGTACGAGAAAAATACTATCATGGGTATACGTTTTATAATTAATTTAATATATTTGTGTTTAAAAATTATATTTGACCTTTAATTTTAATTTTTATTTTATTAAAATTAATAATTAACATATATACTTAATTGCGAATTATATGGATGAAAAAAATCCCCATTATGTGTGTAAGAGATTTCGGAACTCTTTGCTAAAAAATAATTAAAATTAAAAGTCAAATATAATTTTTGAACACTTTTATATTATTAAGAATATATAATTCGGTTCCCGAAATATATTAATTCATTATAAAACGTATACGTGATATTATTTTTCTCATATAAAAATGACTAGAATAAATTAAATTAATTATTAAAAAACTAAAAAGTAATTAAACGACTTAGACTTAGATGATAATAATAATGAAACATTTTATTAAAAAAAGATTCAATAACTAGTAGGTCAGGTTATAATTTTTTATTTATTTATTTATAACATTATGAGCTATTAAGCTCATCATCTGTTCGCTCTCTGTCTTGCTTTCATTCGGCAAGTCACAAACGATATATGATACTCGTATGTTCCTACTTCAACTCTCGAGAATCTGAAACAAACGAAACTCGTGTCCAATATACAGGGTGTCCGGTAACTAACAGACCAATGATTACAAATGGATTCTTTGGTCAATTTGGGAACGATTTTTCCTCAGCGAAAATGTCGAAAAAGGTCATCATTTTTTACAACTTTCCAATCTTTGTCATTATGTATCTTTATAACTAAGCCTTAAATTAAAATTTTATTATAGTAAACTCTACCTGAAATTAACTGAAGAATGTAATTATGTTAGACTTTTAACTCCAAAACGTTTAGTTTTCAAAAAACCTATTTTTTTCAATCGCTTATAACTCGAAAATTATTGACTTCTCAACATTTTTGCTAAGGAAAAATCGTCTCCAAATTGGCCAGAGAATCCGCCCTTAATCATTGGTCCGTTAGTTACCGGACACCTTGTATATATTATATAAAAGTGTATAGCACGTCAGAAGCTTGTGAGCTTACAGCGATAAGTAAAAACAATTGCGTATTTATTTCATTGCGTTTATCTGTTTAAACGCGCGCTTTAATTTTTCCAACGTTTTTGCCTGTTTATATTTTAAAGGTCCTCTCTTCTAAAAATCTTGTTTTAAAGATCCTCTCCGCGAGCAAAATTCGAAAACATAAATTATTTAATATTTTTACTTTATTATTTGTAAATCCTCGGTAATTTCAAAATTTTTCTATTTGAAAATTATTAATTTTCTATTGCAAATTAATTTTATCACAGACTTTACTCTTACTCCCATTGCACTTTCGTTTGCGGTTTTCAGTATACGATTTTTTATCGTAGTTACTGAAAATTATTATTGTGAATTATACTTGTGCAGTGATTTGAAGAATTTACAATTTCGTTGAAATTGTTGATTTTTCAAAAAAATTACGAGATTCGCGGAAATTGCGTGCTTTCTTGGCATTTTCCGTTCGCGGCAGGCGGTTTATTTTTGATTGTTGCAAGTGTTTTTGTTTTTTTTTATTAAAATAGATAATAATAATGTGAAATAAATCACGATATTTGACAGATGTGCATATATATAGAAATTGTAATAATAATAATATTATATCATAAAATTGTAAATTGTTTCAATTTTTTATAGACTGCGATAAAAGATTTTACATTTGGATAAGAAACTGCGGTAAGTAAAAATATAAAATTCTTGAAAACGTACCAAAAATATTTGATAACGTAAAAAGGTGAACTTTGAAAAATAAGGAACTTAAAAATTGCACTAATAAATGGGCTATATGTGAGCCGTGCGCGGATGTAAGGTGTGTTATATCGAAATTTAATTAATAGAATTGAGAATTAATCCCAATTTTAAGTCTTACAAATGTCCAAGCTAATTTTTTGTACCTCGTGTACATTTTTGAAAGTTATATCGAAAAATTAAATTTCAATATGCGTCTTACATCTCACATTTCGCATACGGCTCACATATAGCCTATTTATCTCTTATACTTTATTTCAACCCTTATAGAAATTTATTACTAGTAACGCCAATTTATCACTTATTTCGAGTAATTAATCACTTTTATTTCGAATACTTAAATTACTGTATATTATAGTATTTTAAATACTCGAAATAAGTGATTAATTGGCGTAGTGATAAATTTCTACAAGAGAATAAGGAGCCTTTAAATTCTTAATGTAAAAAATTTCAAGTAATTTTCTTTAATAAAATTTAATTAAAAAATTTAATTAAAAAATTTTTGAACACTGTGTTAAATCACATTTAAAATCGTGATTATTTCAATAAAAAAACATTTTATGTGTAAAAAATATATTTTTTATATTTAATAAATTTTATATATATGTATATATATGCATATGTAAAATATTCTCTCTCTCTCTCTCTCTCTCTCTCTCTCTCTCTCACACACACACAACGGGGGCCAAATTTCTCAAATTGGTCTCATGATCAATTAGCCTGGATTCGCACCAGGGGCAAAGTCTGTTGGTAATGTCAAACAAATTTAGCCTGGACTTGCACCAGGGGCAAAGTCTTTTGGTCGAGTCTACGAAATTTAGCACGGACTCGAACCAGGGGCAAAGTCTTTTGGTTCAAGTCTACGAAATTTAGCACGGACTCGAACCAGGGGCAAAGTGTGTCGGTAAGGGGCAAAGTCTATCGCACGAAGATGGCGGTCTCTTCTTTAGGCAGGCCTTTGGCGATCTGTCTATTAATCTGTGACGTGACGCGCGGACGGATCGACGCGGCAAGCACTCGCAAGCGCTCTGTCGGACGCGCCGCGAACTGACGTCTGACGTCTGCCAGGTGAGCGCTCGCCGACCGCTGACGCGGCTGTGACGCGTACCGCGGCGAACTTCAGGGCGCTGCTCGCTCCGGACCGAGCGGCGGACTTCAGAGCAAAGCAAGCGCGCGGCAAATTCGAACTGCGACTTTGCGAAAAATATATATTTCTTGCAATAGAAATATGATTAATATTTTTGAACTTTGCTCATTTCGATTTCTTAATAATATCCTCATGCTTGTATTTCTAAAATCAAAAAAAATATATAAAATATATCTTTCTATATAAAATATATAACTTTCTTTTGAATACGGAAAATTTATTGTAGTTGAAAAATTATTTTCGAACGAAAAAATAAATGACAATTTTTTTCTGTCGTCATTTGATGTAAATAAATTTCAAAAATTGGATTAATTTATTATAATGGATATGTCTTAGATGGATATATATTGGAATTTTGCAAAATTGAGAACTATTACCGAGAAATAGTGCTCGTGCAGCGTCGTTTGAGGTTATGTTTACAGTGTGGAGTACAATAAAATAATACAACGATGTCGAAATTATATTCGTCATTTGAGTTTTACATAACTACGCATGGTCGAACGTGATTGATTATCGGCGGTCATGTGAAAACTCGACGCGACCTCCTTCATAGTTTTACGTCGCGAAACAAACTCAAGGGACGCAATATCGTTCAGTGATTGCATGGTTCAATCCCCAATTCGATTTGCTGTCATTAATCTGTCGTTATTGCTGTCGATCGGTGATTTTTCACAATGTTGGAGGGAGTAAAGCACGTGCTGTTAGTGCTTTCGGGAAAAGGTGGCGTCGGTAAATCAACAATCAGCACTCAACTGGCACTTGCCTTGAAGGAATCGGGTTTTCGAGTAAGTTTTCGAAGCCGTTTCACAAACGATACACTTGCGAAAACAGATGTAAAATGCCTGAAATAATTATTTTTCAAATAATATTTCAATAATTTTATAATTCCTTCTATATTATTTGTTGATGCAGTGAAATAACATTTTTTGGCAAACCAACATTTCTATTTTTTTTTAACAAATTAAACTTTCTATAATTTTTATACAATTTAACCTCTTGATAGAAATTAGTTAAGCAAAGCTTAAATACAAACCTTAATTATTAATTACCACAGGTTGGAATCTTGGATGTTGATCTTTGTGGCCCCAGCGTGCCATACTTATTGAACTTGGAAGAAAAGGATGTTCACCAGTCTTCTGAAGGGTACCTCCTGTTATTTATATATTAATTTATTAATAATTATATAATTATAAATTAATAGAATAAATTGATTATAAACTAATGGAATAAATTGATATTGCAGATGGATACCGGTATTTGCAGATTCAGAACAGAAACTGTCTGTCATGTCGATTGGTTTTCTCTTGAAAAGTCAAAATGATAGTGTAGTCTGGCGTGGTCCTAAAAAGAATGGTATGATCAAGCAGTTTCTAACTGATGTAGTTTGGCAGGATATTGATTATCTGATCATCGACACACCACCTGGTACTTCTGATGAACACATTACAGTTATGGAGAATTTAAGGTTACTAAACAAATAATTTTACAATTGCTAATTAATTTAAAGATGAAATTGTGTTAAATATTTGTCATTTACTGTTACATAATTATAACATGATATTAAAATGATTGCAGAAATGCAAATTGCGACGGTGCCATTATAGTAACTACTCCACAAGCAGTTGCAGTGGACGATGTCCTGCGAGAAGTAACATTTTGCAAGAAAACAGGAATTCCTATAATTGGCATTGTTGAAAATATGAGTGGCTTTGTTTGTCCTTCGTGTACAGTAAATATCTTTTCACACATTAACTGCAATTCAATTTACTCACAATGTGGATTTAATAAATTATATTTTTTGCACAGGAATGTACCAATATATTCTCTTCTGGTGGTGGAATAGCTCTTTCAGAAATGGTAAAGGTTCCATTTTTGGCAAAGGTACCTATAGACCCGCAAGTCGGCAAGTTAGCAGAAAAGGGACAAAGTATCCTTGTGACATCACCCGATAGTCAAGTTGCACAGGTGTTTCGAAAGTTAGTCGAAGAGCTCACCAAAAGTAAGGAAGCTTAAAGACAAAGAGTTTACCAGCAATGTGTGTGATTTTTAGCGTCACATGTATGTTTGCTCTTGCGTTGTTACTGTTATTTTTATACAGATAAACTTATTTACAGGAAACTGTGTATAAAAACATCTAAAATATACCTGTTTTTATAATGTATTATAATGTATAATTGCAAGTAATAAATGATATTATTTTATCATAAAGCCTGCTTATATACATATATTATAAAAAAGGAAGCAAAAGAATTATCATAAGAAAGATTTCCTATCGAGTATCTCAATATCTCATTTTATTTTTGTATTCAATAATATGATGCAAATTTTATTTGCATCGAAATAAACCATTTTGGGCAGACATACTGTAGAAAGACACAGTAGTAACAATATAAGTATCATGATAATACTATCTATATGACGTATCCAAAGTTCTTATGTATATCGAGCTTTTAGAATTATATAGAGATTATTCATTTATTTCCCCAACCCCAGAGACCCTTAACGAAGCCAGTGAGACCAGCCTGTCCTTTTTTAGCTTGATCGCCTATTTTATGCGCCAGTTCTGGAAACTCGACCATGAAGAAGGCCAGATCGAAGAACAGAGGCTTGCAAGGAATACTCTGCATTGGTGGTGGCAGTTTGTAGACATTCGGTTGCTTGGTGAGAAGCGCAGGATCCTCCCTGTATTCGTGTAAACGTTCATACAACGGTTTCTTGCTTTTGGCAAGTTTACTGATTCCACCCTCTTCTTCCTGACCATCCTCTAGAACGCTGTGAGCATGAGCGGAGTACTGGGCAGCCTCCACAGAAATTTCCAGCTTGCGCAAGGCTTCCTTCAGTGTGGATGGAAGAATGTTATCATATTTAAATGCATCTTTCACATGCTGCAGTGATCTCTGATACATGGCCATAGCTTCACGCCAACGATGCTGATTGGCAAGACTTTGGGCTACATAGAAACATCTAAAAGCTCTGTAGCCTTTCGTTTTAGCCTCCTGTTCCTCCACGAATTCCGTATCATCTTGCAACTGAGACATTTCTACGACATTATATAACGCTGCTTCGTATAAACGTACTATGTCCTGCGGTTTAGCTTTCTCCGATTCTTCGGCCGCTTTTACCAACGCTAAATTGCGCTCTAACGTGCGAGACAATCGAATGTACTGCAAATAGTTTATCAAATGCTGCGGCGCCGACCACTTGTCGTTCTCCTTGTTTTTCAATTCGTTCTTAAAATGATCGCGCACCGCCGACAGAGCGTCCTTGCAGTCGATCAGATGCGCCTCCAACAGATCGATCTTCCCTTGATTTGTGGCGGCCTTCTCTAGAGCTTGATTTAGTCTGGAATCTGCGATGATCAAACCAGCTGCTCTCGCTGGCACCGTACCGCAAGATTTTCCACGCCACGTTACTTCCTCGATGTTGGATTGCTTCTCACGTGTCTGGGCTATTAAAGAGTCTAGACTAGCCATTAGCTCGCCGCTCAATTGTCCGCGCATCTGCATAAGATCGTCCATGGCACTAGTGTCTCCAATATTATAAGCGCAATATCTGAGACTAGGCGCCAACTCCTCAACACGCGCTTTGTAAACAATTTGCTCCAATTCCGGCAGCGCGGACGCTAGATTACCGTATACCACCTGTGCCTTCTGCAAATTCTCCATGGCCTGTTTCCATAGTTGCAATTCAAACTGCAAGGAACCGTTCATCCAGGCCACATACGCTTGAGCCTCTAGCTTTGTACGTGCATCGCAATTTATATTCTAAAAATATAATAAGATAATTTCAATCATTTCATATAATTAGCGATTGATAAAATATCTAAAGAAAGATGAGAGAAACTAAAATATATAATAAAAAATGAATAAATAAAATTAAAAGTTTAATATACTGAAAATACTTTTTATAGAAAAATGAAGGATAAAATTTACCTCTATCAGATCTTGCAATTGTACAGAATATGCAGCTGCCTTCTTTAGCCTTGATATCAGATGAAACTTTTTTCTCGGCTCTGTGTTGGATTCCTGTCGTAGCTGCATGGCATAGCTCCAAGCGCGTTCGGCCATAATCAAAGGCATTTGCAAGAATTTATCCTCACTAACCATGGTTGGAGTGATGTCTTTCCTCTTAAAATGACGTCTATCACCTTGCGGTACTTTCAACACCTTTCGCAATCTTCTAAGTCTTCTTGAACAATAACCGCGATATCGCTGATAATCACCGTGTCTCAACCCATGTTGCTGCTGCGCTTCCTTGATTATCTTTAAAACTGTACATTTGTTAAGTACCAATAATGGGATTAAAATTACAGTTACGATACAATATAAATACTACAAGTTATGAAATCTTGTTGCAATTCATTAATAAATTTTATGTTACATTAATTGCCTACAAACACATACACATTATAAATTAATGTAACAGATTGTTATTAATTAATAGTAGATAACATTATAAGAGGTTATTGAAATTCGACATATGGCACTGATAGTTCTGCTATTATAAAAATCTTGCTAGAATAATAATTCCACAAAAGGATACTCTCTAAGGAATACGTCTTCGGTTCTTTCGTGATAACTCCATCCTGCATTTGACTTTCTTTCAAAGAATCCACTTTTTCTTCGACTACCATTGTGCTCGTTATTAATTGTATTCAATAATTCAATCTTTCTAAAAAGACATGTCCTCATCTCATGTCTTGTCACAGATTAATAGACAGATCGCCAAAGGCCTGCCTAAAGAAGAGACCGCCATCTTCGTGCGATAGACTTTGCCCCTTACCGACACACTTTGCCCCTGGTTCGAGTCCGTGCTAAATTTCGTAGACTTGACCAAAAGACTTTGCCCCTGGTGCAAGTCCAGGCTAAATTCGTTTGACATTACCAACAGACTTTGCCCCTGGTGCGAATCCAGGCTAATTGATCTTGAAACCAATTTGAGAGATTTGGCCCCCGTTGTGTGTGTGTGTGTGTGTGTGAGAGAGAGAGAGAGAGAGAGAGAGAGAGAGAATATTTTACATATGCATATATATATATAAAATTTATTAAATATAAAAAATATATTTTTTACACAAAATGTTTTTTTATTGAAATAATCACAATTTTAAATGTGATTTAACACAATGTTCAAAAATTTTTTAATTAAATTTTTTAATTAAATTTTATTAAAGAAAATTACTTGAAATTTTTTACATTAAGAATTTAAAGGCTCCTTATTCTCTTGTAGAAATTTATCACTACGCCAATTAATCACTTCCCAGACAGCACATGATATTATACGAATATTCTATATTCATACTATGAATGTACGTACAGTATATAATATCACCTTTAAAAAAAGGTAAAAAAAGGCGACCAGTTAAAGGCACGCCATTAACAAAAATTATCCATTGCAAACCCATGTAGAATCCTATCCTATTGCAAACCCATGTAGAATCCTATGAAAAATTAATCATTGCAAACCCATGTAGAATCCTAGGCAAAATTAACCATTGCAAACCCATGTAGAATCGTACCCATTGCAAACCTATGTAGAATCCTATGAAAAATTAACCATTGCAAACTCATGTAGAATCCTATGAAAAATTAACCATTGCAAACCCATGTAGAATTGTATTAAAAATTATCCATTGCAAACTTATGTAGAATCCTACATTGCAAACCCATGTACAATAGAATTGTATGAAAAATTATCGATTATAAACCCATGTACAATCGTAACAAAAGTAATGAAATAAAAAAAAAATTGCGCCAAGTGAAAGTAGAAACTTGTACCAGTGGAAAATTAAAGTTGCAGATATATAGAGTCGTATAATGAATCAGTAAAAATTTAAATTTGCAAATGTAGAATCGTACCATAAAAAAACTTATCTTTAAAAAAAAAAAAAAACAAGATGCCAAGTCCATGCGCCATGTGAAAAAGAAATAAAAAAATTTTAGTTAAAAAAACTGGGCGCGCTGCTAAGTTTCAAAATTACAATGCACCTTAAAGTAACATTAATTAATTTAAACACAAAACATATTTTAACTGTAATGAGTTTAAAAGTAACAATTTAATTTTAATATTGTTAGAATATTATTTAGCAGCGCTCCCAGTTTTTTTAACTAAAATTTTTTTATTTCTTTTTCACATGGCGCATGGACTTGGCATCTTGTTTATCTTTTTTTTTAAAAGATAAGTTTTTTTATGGTACGATTCTACATTTGCAAATTTAAATTTTTACTAATTCATTATACGATTCTATATATGTCTGCAACTTTAATTTTCCACTGGTACAAGTTTCTACTTTTACTTGGCGCAATTTTTTTTTTATTTCATTACTTTTGTTACGATTGTACATGGGTTTATAATCGATAATTTTTCATTCAATTCTATTGTACATGGGTTTGCAATGTAGGATTCTACATAAGTTTGCAATGGATAATTTTTAATACAATTCTACATGGGTTTGCAATGGTTAATTTTTCATAGGATTCTACATGAGTTTGCAATGGTTAATTTTTCATAGGATTCTACATAGGTTTGCAATGGGTACGATTCTACATGGGTTTGCAATGGTTAATTTTGCCTAGGATTCTACATGGGTTTGCAATGATTAATTTTTCATAGGATTCTACATGGGTTTGCAATAAGATAGGATTCTACATGGGTTTGCAATGGATAATTTTTGTTAATGGCGTGCCCTTAACTGGTCGCCTTTTTTTACCTTTTTTTAAAGTACGTGTAACACGATACTACTATGTATGCGTGGTCGATGATAATGATGACGGGGACGTTTCTTAGTAGAAATTTTTCATATTTCGACTTTGCATTTATATATCTCTGCTTACAAATCACGTAGAGCAGAAATAAAGACACTTTTATTATATAATTCGAACTCAATCTATTGATTAAGTCTAGTATAAACTCAATTGCTTCAGCCATTATTGAGGATTCGAAATATTATAAAGACTCAAATGTCCGACTCGCGTTAAGATACACGGTGTCTCCGCTACGCCCTTAACTGGTCGTGAGACACTACCGTGTCTCTTGATTTTCACATAGATGTTCTGGATTGCTCCTCCCGTTAAGAACCTGGATACCGCCGTAAAATGTTCCTTCCCTCACAGAGATTCCGACCAGAGACGGGGATGACCACTCTCTCGCGAGAGGCGAGAGAGCCCCGGAAACAAAAGGCGCGGGAGATACTCTGCCTCGAGCCTCCGCAGATCCGGATACACAAAATTTCACCATCGATCAAACAATCGATCTGGCGGATTTTTGGGAGGAACCGCAAAGAGGTGCGCTCTTATGAGTCTTCCCGACGACCAATGTAGAGGAACAGCGGAACTCAATGCAGAGGAAAAGAGGAACGGCGAGAGAAAATTTGCATTAAGCAAATTCGCAGGGCCCCGCAGGGCACCCGGCGGCCCTGCCAAGATAAGGAGCGCCACGGGTGGAAAATGCCCAAATTCATTATCGGCGTGATTCCGACAGGCCTCTTGCTCGTCACTGTCTGGCGGAGCGTGGTCGAGAGCAGAGGTTCCTGCGCGCGGATGCCGAAGCATCAGAGGACCCAACGATACCGGTGAGACGAACGGCCCTATATACTTTGTAAAGCCGCTAAATTCTTTTTTTTGTGAGTACCGTATTCGGGAGAGAAGCGTGTCACGGCCGCGGCCGGTTATTAGATTCACCGGTGTAATTTCGTGATATTTCGGGAGGTTCGATTTAGAGTTTCGTTCCGCGTAGAATTTATCCCGGCGCCCGGCCGACCGCGTGCTCTCTCCCGCGCGTATATTAAGAGAGGCTCTCTCTCCCGCGGATACGCCGACAGTCGCCGCGATTTTGGTCACATTAATGTAACATCAAAGTATCGTCTCGTAATTACTGTGTTGTTTTCGTCTATTAGGATTTCTATATCGGAGAAGGGAAAATTGTCTAGAGTCACGCATAAGAAGTTGCATAATCTTTCTCGCGCATATCATCATTCGCGCATTTTTCGGATTCGTTGTAATATTGTGCGAGGGCGTGATCGATCTCAAAGGAAGGCGCGCGGGACCTACTCGAGTTTCCGGAACTTTTGTACTGCCTAGAATCATCAGAATGAATTACGTCACACGGACCTTATTAAGTCCCGTGCGTTAATAATTATTCGGCACGTAGGCGTGCGAACTGACTTTCGGACTTCCGGGTCCCGCGTGTCGCCCGATATCATCGCGTCGGGTCGTCTCAAAGGCGTGGAACAATAACAACGCGCCGCGTCTCGGCCGTAAATACGCGGCATTATATTGTTCGAATCGAATTACGGCCTCGCTTATTTGTATTTCGGCGTCACTAATAGGAGTTCACTCCATAGTATATCGAAAGAATATTGATTTTTCTTTCTTGACCTAACATTTTACTCAAGCTTTTATACAATTATTTTTCTGTCTATCTTCGTTCATCATTGTTCAAATATATTTAATGCTTGTTACATTTGAGCGATTTCAAATAGCCTCTCTCGAATTCCGTCCTCTCTCCCGTCCTCTCTCCCCCCTCTACCCCCTGACGATCTGAGCGAGTCGATTATCGCCGTCGCGGAAATTTTCGGGATAATTTACTGATTATAAAGGTCATCTGTCGATTTGTAAATTTTCAGAGTGGCGCGAATCTCGCGCCCAATTAAGCATATTTTTCGTGTTTTCGCGAATTTCCCGCTTTCCGCGCCGAAGGTGTGCCGTCGGCCACTTACATCGGCCCTATTTCTCGGATCCTTATCGATCCGACGGACTAATATCAAAACAACGGTTACATATATATATATATATATATATATATATATATTGTAACCGTTGTTTTGATATTAGTCCGTCGGATCGATATATATATATTGTAACCGTTGTTTTGATATTAGTCCGTCGGATCGATATATATATATATATATATATATATATATATATATATATATATATATATATATATTGTACATTGTATATATATATATATATATATATACATTGTATATATATATATATTTGTTACGATATATATATATATATATATATATATATATATATATATATATATTGTAACCGTTGTTTTGATATTAGTCCGTCGGATCGATAAGGATCCGAGAAATAGGGCCGATGTAAGTGGCCGACGGCACACCTTCGGCGCGGAAAGCGGGAAATTCGCGAAAACACGAAAAATATGCTTAATTGGGCGCGAGATTCGCGCCACTCTGAAAATTTACAAATCGACAGATGACCTTTATAATCAGTAAATTATCCCGAAAATTTCCGCGACGGCGATAATCGACTCGCTCAGATCGTCAGGGGGTAGAGGGGGGAGAGAGGACGGGAGAGAGGACGGAATTCGAGAGAGGCTATTTGAAATCGCTCAAATGTAACAAGCATTAAATATATTTGAACAATGATGAACGAAGATAGACAGAAAAATAATTGTATAAAAGCTTGAGTAAAATGTTAGGTCAAGAAAGAAAAATCAATATTCTTTCGATATACTATGGAGTGAACTCCGTATTAGTGACGCCGAAATACAAATAAGCGAGGCCGTAATTCGATTCGAACAATATAATGCCGCGTATTTACGGCCGAGACGCGGCGCGTTGTTATTGTTCCGCGCCTTTGAGACGACCCGACGCGATGATATCGGGCGACACGCGGGACCCGGAAGTCCGAAAGTCAGTTCGCACGCCTACGTGCCGAATAATTATTAACGCACGGGACTTAATAAGGTCCGTGCGACGTAATTCATTCTGATGATTCTA